TGGCTGGGAGCAGTCAAACCTTCCCTGCCTGGGGCTGTGTGGGGCTTGGGGCCATGGGGTCAAAAAACTGTGAGGTGAAAGGATTGGCACAGCCCTGAGATGCTCAGGGAAGCTCAATCTACAAAATGAAGATAGAGGCTCTATAATGGCTTCACACTGAAATAGAGCAGGAGTAGGTTGTGTGTTTGTTGGGAAGAAATTCATCCCTGTGAGAGTGGTGAGGCCCTGGCACAGGTTGCCCAGGTGAACTGGGGATGTTCCAGCCCTGGAAGTGTTCAGGGTGAGGTTGGGCAAGGCTTGGAAGCAACCTGGTCTAGTGGAAGGCATCCGTGCCTATGGCAGCGATTGGAACTGGATGATATTTCCGGTTGCTTTCAAACCGTTCTGTGATTCTGTTATTCTAATGTATTGATTTAAATAAGTTGTACTAAACACAAAATAATTGCATTACCAAGTCACAACTTTACGTAGGGCTAAAGCCGATTTTATAATCAACATATAAATTACCACTATAATTTAAACTGGGAGCTGGTACCTGCAGCAAGTGCTTTGTTTCCCGAGACGTGTCCCCCGCACTCCGGGAGTCGGGAAAGCGGCTCCTGGTGCCCGGCCTTGCCCAGAGCTGTGAGCATTTTGCCTTTTGTATTTCAGTGCCACACAGATGTGTGTGAGTCAACCAGAGCTCGCTTTTGTTTATTTGGCATTTTGCGGCTGGGGGGGAGGGGGGGGCGTTTTGCTGCCGCTGTTGCCGGTTCTTTTAGCACATCCCCATCCCTACGAGCCGAGCGGCTCTGGGGCGTTCCCGCGGGGCGCTCGGGTGTCCGTAGCCGCGCTGACCGCTGTGTGTGTCCCCTGTGTCCGCAGCCATGCATCTCCTGGGGCTCAACTGGCAGCTGCAGCCGGCCGAGGCTCCGACCTTCAACAACGGGCTGCGCCCGCCCGGCGAGGACGGCCCGCCCGCGCCCCCTGCCGGCAGAGGTGGGTCCGCGCCGCGCCCCGCCCCGACCCGGCCCGACCCGAACGAGCGGCCACGAACCGCCCCAAGACCGTCCCTGAACCGCCACAAACTGCCCCAAAACCGCCACAAACTGCCCCAAAACCGCCCCTGAACGCCACCGAACCGCCGCAAACTGCCCCAAAACTCCGCCTGAACCGTCACAAACCGCCACAAAACGCCACCTGAACTGCCACAAACTGCCACAAATCTGCGCCAAAACACCACCTGAACTGTCACAAACTGCCCCAAAACACTGTCAAACCGCCACAAACTTCCCCAAAACGCCACCAAAACACTGCCAAACCCCCACAAAACTGCCCCCAAAACACCACTGAGCCGCCACAAACCACTCCAAAGTGTCACCAAACCACCCCAAAATGCACCAAAACGCCACCGAAACCCCACAAAAATGCCCCAAAACAGTACCGATCCACCCCAAAATGCCACCAACCCCCCCAAACCACCCCAAACTGCTGCCCTTCCTCTCCCTCCCTCCTCTCTCGGCTCACCCATGCAGGCCGCGTGCTCGGGCGCTCCTGCTAACTCGGGTGGTTTCTGATTTATGGCTGGGGAAGTTGTGCTGCCGTGGATGCTGGTGAAGTGCGCACAGAAATGTGCTGTGTTTACTGGGTACATGTTATTTTTTCTGGTATAACTTAGAGATCTCAAAGAAAGAGGAGGCTGAGGGAGCCGGGGCTGTTCAGCTTCGAGAGGTGGCTGCGAGGGACATCATTAATTGTGTGAATATCTGCAGAGAGGGCTCAGAGCATGGAACAGGCTCCTCACAATGTTCCAGCCAACACAACAGGAGGCAGCAGGCAGGAGCTGATGCCCAGGAAGCTCCACCTGAACTCGAGGCAGAGCTCCTGTGCAGGGACCAAGCACTGGATCATATTGTCCCAGTCTCCCTCACTGGGGATATTCCAGAACCTTCAGGACACAATCCTGTGCCCTGTGTTCTGGGATGACCCTGCTGGAGCAGAGGGGTTGGACCAGATGACCCACTGTGTTCCTTTCCGACCTGACCCATTCTGGGGTTCTGTGAAAGGCTTGATTTAGCACAACTGCATTGTAGTGCTTGAGAGAAGTCAAGTACTGGCTTGCAGCCAGGACCACATCCCTGGTTCTCCTTTCTCAGATGAATTCTAATAGCAAATACCAAGGACAGCAGAATTTGACCCATGGTAAACAGTCTGTCCTGTGATATTAATGTGACAAATTGGACAACAAATAGTTTCTTTTTCTCTTAAAGAAAAACTGTGTTCCAGCAGAGGATGACAAGGACATGGCAATGGAAAGAAAAAATAAGTAAAACCTAGAACCAGAAATACTTTCTTAAACTGAGAGAAGTTACATGTCACCAAAAAAAAAAAATCATTTAAATGGAATACCTTTTACTGGTGAGGCTCGGGGCTTTTCTTTGCTGTATCACAGTAAGGTCTTCTCTGGTTATTATAAAAATTATGGGGAGAAGGCAGAACAGAATGTTACAATTAGACAAAGAACCTCCCACGCTTCAGTCTGCTGGGATGGTGGATGGCGTGACTGGAACAGGAGAAGTCTGATTTTTGTCAGCTGAAGAGTTCTGTTCAGAGGCTGAGCACTGTCTTGCACTCAGGATCTGTGGCTCACGTCAAACTTGGTAATTGCCAAAGCAAGTGTTAGAAGCAAATGCTGACACGGGACACTTGTATTGGAAAAACAATCATTTAAAATCAGAGCTGGGAAAGGCAACTGAATTGTACTTTTATGAGCTTGATCATTTTATGGATTTGCTTCTGTTTTCAATAAGTGGTGCTGCTGCTGCACTCCAGCTTCTCCGTGTTTTCCATGCAGGGTCTAGTTTTGACTTCCTCCTTGTCATGAAATCCTACATCCCGATGGTGCCAAAAACCTGAACATTTTTAGACAAGTGTTCATTGGTTGAGCTTTCATTCCTGACTGGCTGTAGGTCAGAGTGCATGAACAGTGCATCCCTAAGTGCAAGGCAGAATGTTTGCATTGCTGCTGAACTGCCTCCAGGTTGTGCACGGGTGAGAAGCCCTGTGGTTTTGGACAGGAACCTGAAGAGCTCAGGTCGGCAATTATGGTCATTTAGCAGACAACTGCGGGGCTTTAACACCTTTCCCAATTCCCTCTCTGAAGCTTTTTGTTGCTATCTCTCTGCAAATATAGGGCAGCAGGACTGCAGAGTTGGAATGTGCTCATCTGCCTGGGGCACTTCAGTGCAAATTTTGGCAGTTTATCCCAGCCCCACTCTAATTAGCTTTGCGCATTTGAAGAGGCTGAGATGCTGTTTTGGGAGTGGTAACCTCCTGTAGAGGAGACAAGGAGCCAGAAATGCTGGTTATGTCTTAAATTGCTGCAGTTAGCTTTCCTCGGAGCATGTTGGAAAAGTTTACTTGCTCTTCTGACATTTTGTAGAAGGTTGCTGAAATGCTGGTAATGTGGGGGAAGGAGGAAGAAAAATATTTAGGCAAGTAATCTTTCACAGTGAAATAAAATGAATGACAGGTTTGGATGTACACAAGGAATATCGAAAAGACGAATTCTTAGAGCAGGGAAGGGTGAAAAGTTTTTCTACCTCACCTTTCTTTTTATAATGTCCAAGTTAATATTGCTATCCCAGCAGTTTTTAGGAAAGCCTCTGACAGCTTTTAATACAACAACCATTCCAGGGCTCTGGCTGTGGAGAGTGACCTTTCTATAATTGACAGAACTCAGAATGAAGCCATTCTTTTCAAAACATCGGTCTCCCAAAGAAACCTTTAACCCCTAGTCTGAGAAGGGCCACTTAAACACAAGCTGTGCCTACTCAGCAAGCAAAGCATTTTAAAGTAGAGCAATTTGAAAGGAGAAGGAAAAAAAAAGCAGGTATTCAATTTGATCTGCCTGTTCCTTATTAAGAGACTAAATTCTGGTAGGAAATAATAAAACTGCAATTTAAGAGGAATGTAAATTACTTTATTACTGCATTTTCCTATCTGAATGAAAACAAAATTCACTATTAAGATAACACAGTTTCAGGTTTTTTGTAATTACACACTACATCTCACTAATAGTGGGTATGTCTGAAAGGAGAAGGCAAGTGTAATGGGCAGAAAAATCCTCAGTGCTGCTTTAAAACTGCAAGTCCACCATGCTGTGAAAGTTGTGTTCAACTAGGGATTTAAATTAGGAGACAAAAATTCCATTCTTAATACAGATCATAAGGCAGTATCCCTTCAGAGTGCATAAACCCCTAAAAATTGATACTGCCTTGGAATTTCTACAGGGATGAGATAGATTGTAATGACATTAAAAAAGCTTTCTGAGAGTGAAGCCCATTTATCTCATATGTATGTCTTGTTGCGAAAGGATAATGTTAGAATTTGGGTGTAATAAATCTAAATTAAGGGGGAAAGTGGGGGAAAAAGAAAAGAGGCATGTTGGGGAATAATTGCTTCTTCAAAAAGAAGTGAAATAGATGCCCTTATGGGATTTTTCGGTGCCTAAATTCTGTTAATCTATGCCAAAAATTTTCTACATTTAAAATTACGTGGTGGGCTAGATACACATTTCCATAAAATCTGTGACTATGTGCTGTTTCCTTTCTAATTGACAGAACATATCATAAATTGAACTTTTATCATTTCAGAGAGACACCTAAGATAACCTACAATTTATGTGGAAATATCCAAACTAACTCCAGCTGAAAACCCATACAAAGAATGCTTTGGTGTCAACTTTTTTGTTTAGGACATACTGTCTTTGATGTGCTCACAAACTTAGCAAGTTTTATAGTAATTCAAAATTGACTTAGTATTTTTTATCTTGATTGTTTGCTATAATAATGTTCTAGAAAGCTGAAAAACACAGGAAGAGATTGTGATCTCTGATTCTAGAACCCCTCGTTTTAAAAGACACCAAAAGTAATAGTGGACTGTTGTGGAAAGATCACTTTAGGTACAGTAAATACACTGACTATTTGGAAAAAGTTGATAAGAATTTGTGTTTTGATACTCACATAATCCAGGATTTGCTTCTCTTTGGATGAACCAACCTGATCCAAGTTCATGTTCACTTTGAGATATATCACAAAGTCTACCACAGTGTATGTGGATTTCAGAAAGACGTTTTCAAAAATATTACAGTTATTAAATATTAAAAGTACTGAAGTATAAAAATATATGTATATGAAAAATACCTGTTTCCAGATACCACATTCAGAATTGCAGATATAATGTCAATAATGAAACAAAGAAAGTTTAATTAGCTGTTAAATTTGGCACCATCTCACTTGCTTTTGAGATGAGAGAGAGGAAAAACAGATTTCTACTGATGTAGCAGAAATTTTCCTTGGATGGATGTGGAAAGCTGAGCTCAGCAGTCATTGTGGGGCTGTACAGGTTGTCTTCAGCTCTCTCCAAATGATGCTGAGATCTCTGCCAGATGCTGCAGCTGCAAGTCACATTTTGGGTTGCACACAAATTGTTTTCTAATAAAGATATTTTATTAGCAGTGCAGCACACGGGCAATGCTAAAGGAGTGACAAAATTCTGAAATGGGTGGATCTGCCATCCTGACAGAGGGGTGAGCTGGGGTTCAGGTGCAGACAAAGCAGCTCCTGACTCGCTGCCTGAGGCATCAGTGCTTCCCCGACTGTGCTCCTGCTGAAACCAGCCCAGCACACGGTGTAAGGACTCGGCAACAGCCGCGGGGAGCTCTCTGTGTCTTGTAAAAGATAAACTCATCCCTCATTAACTATGTAAACAACATGAATCTCTCGGTTTCTGCTATTTCCTGTCAGACGCTTTGAAACAGACGATCAAAATGTAATAACAGGCAATGTGTTTTAAATGTCACTTCTGTTACCTTCATTCAGTTTAATCAAGACAAGCCATCATTTTCCAGGTGGATTAATCTTATTAAGTAGTTATGTGGCTAATGTAATGTAGATCTTAATTAACACGTTAGCAAGCAGAACTATTAAGATGGAGGC